GATTTGTTATCTGTTTCAAGGGGCCTTAAACCTCAAAACAACTGCCCACTAAAAGTAATGCATTCTTACGCATTTAAGCACAACTGAATGAAACACACTCTGGATTTCGTTATGAACCACTTACTGCTTCTTGATGTAGGGCAAACGTATTTGGGCTTTAAACGTTGGTGAATATATTTTTTAATTGCCCTTGCCCCTAAGGCAGACATCAAAATATGTTTCACTTGAGATAAATATTAAACTCTTGTGAAAACAACACTCTCACCGTGAAATGCTTTCTATAAGTGAAGTAAAAAAAAAATGTCAATGTCTGGTGCCGGTCAGTCGAAGTTATATTAGTTAATATTATAGGAATGCCACTCATTTGAGACTCACCGCGTTAGAGAAATAATGACAAAACTGATGAACTGAAGTGGCTTGCCGGTCTATTCTACCTGCTGATGAGGCTGAAAAAAGGTTATTATGCTTTGTTCTTTAAAAAAAAAAGATTCTAAATTGTGCATTCTATCTCGCAATCATGGAATGCTCGAAGGAACTACGAAGAAGAGGAGGTGGAGGAAGAAGTATTAAATAGTTGATGGTCAGCTCTGTGTATGTCCTCCCCTGTCTGCGTGTAAGTGTTTAATGTTCAAGCTGTTTCCTTATAGACCGATTTGTACTCACTTCGGACGTGGACCACTTATTGTTTTCTTCGCCGTGCCAAGAAATGATTCTTCCCTTTTGATTATTCAATATCAGTCACACATAAGCGTTTAAATTAAAATTACCGAATGACGGAAACTCCAAATCAAAATAAATGCTGTTTTTCAGAATAATATTTGGTGGAAAGGGTTTATACAAATTGAGGCAGCAAGAAATTATGTGATTTAAATAAACTCCTTTTTTCTCCACCCCGCTTGTAAGTGTGCCGGTTAAAGCCCCTTGATAGAGTTAAGGCCTGTTCACACATGAAGCGGAGCGCTACAAGCAGAGCGCTCACCTCGCGCTAAGCGCGTGCTGACGGGAGCGTTCACCAGCTTTGTATCGCACCGTCGAAACTGTTGCTCATGGCAGACGATAAGTAGCTGACGGCACGTGAGCAGCGCTACATCAGCGCTTCGCTGCATGTGAGAACCGGCCTTTACTCAATGATGCTGTGCTGGTGCAGCGCACAAGCAACATTGAGGCACTTTAACCCTCGATGTTCTTCATGTCTTATATAGACGCTTTACACACGCGCCAAATTGAGCCGCCATAGCCGCCCTTCTCTTGTCTTACCGAGATGCCGAGCCACTGAATCGGGCGTTGACGAGTCTCCATAAGGGCCTATGCTGGGGAGAAGGACACAGTAGCACTTAAAGTGACAATAACCTGGCCTGCTGTGGCAATGGTGAAGTGAAGCGAACGGAATAAGAGGAAACAAAAACTGAAGGTCAGTTATGGCGGCGTCCATGCACAGCTCCTGCAAAGCGTCTATACGAGGGGGGATCGGTGGCCGAGTGGGCTAGCGCACACCAGCTCGGAGCACGTGGAGCGAAAGCTCGCGCTGCAGAACCCAGGGATCCTGGGCTCAATCCCCACCCCCGCCCGTTTCGATCTGGATGAGCATCGTACCGGCGTGCGGTCGTGTATCACTACTGCGTGGTGCACGCTAAAGACCCCAGGCTAGCGGTTGTACTGCACTGGCTAAATTGCTCATCTACAGCCGGGAGACTCGTCGCCCCTGTGAGGCAGACCAAGTTCTAGGCTGTATAAACATACCACACAACCCAATTTTTTTTTTTTTTTTTGTCTTATATACGAGAGAAAAAAAAGTGCCAATGAGCAGGTACACGCTTCGTGGGCTCTTGGAAACAAATGGCGGCGCAGCACTGAATCGTATTGGAATGAGCTATCGATCGAGACACAATGTTTTCGTTCTAGCACGTACTGCCTTTACGTTTCTCGCACGTCTGAAGAGTAATGTTTGTCGACTTTTAGGAATCACGAATCGTTATTTATCGAAGGATATAGGCGTATGTGTCGCTGCTTGTACTTCTGGCTCATGTGAGAACTGCATTCGTCCGCGTGTGCTGCCAATGCACAACTCAATCACGCGCCTCACTGTAAAAAAAAATGACGTTACGAGTTCGACGAAGGGCATCTGGTACGCCCCAGCGGGGAGCTGAAGATTAATTTCGACCATCTGGGGATCTTTCGGAATGTCTCCGAATTAAGCCGATCTTACGTTGTGCGACTGTGCATGTAATATTTGTACTCGTGTGGCATAAAGCCAGTAAAGACAGCACGCACTTCAAGTGCCATTCACGGTTTATTATTATGATTTTCTTGCCGCACGAGTGACCTTGCGATCGAAAATTGCAAGTACTATGTCAAAAGGGAATTAAAACCCAATTAATATGATAAGATTTCGCTTGCGATGTCTGAGCTCTAACGTTAAGCACCGTAGCTTCCACCGCACTTTTATGGCCGCACAAGCGACGACGCAACAACAAAAGCTTACTTAAACTCGTACAACGTGTATCAAACATAAAGGCATGATTGTGCGAAAAAGACACGTGCAAAAAAGCAACCCCAAATTGCACGCAAGCCGGAACAGGCAAAAACGGTTTCATGCCACCTTTAAGATACTAAAGTGTTTGATGCTAGCATATAAAACATATCATTTTGTTAATAGCTTTTTAGAAGGGAGAGAATACAGCTAGGCGAGTTAGTTAGGAAACGATTGTGAACCCATTATCAGGTTCACAAGTATGTCGTTAAAAGAATACAGTATGTAAGATTTCTGTGCGATAAATACCAGCCTGCAGATCGTCTCGTGCAGACGACCAAGCTTCATCCAAAGCAACTAGCTCGCGCTTTTAGCATTCCCGGTTAACAGTAGTCCATGCTAAGGTTAGACGAAGTAGTAGCGCGCATGAAGGCATCCTAAGACGAAGTAGGGTGTGTACAATCAAGAAAAGTTTAAAAAAGTTCATATTTTTAAGTTGTGTCGCTTTCAAGCTTAAGACGAAGTATAGCAGGTGCTGAGCGCGGACATCGTTTTGTCCGTGGACACGTGCTTAGAAACGTGATCACCACGTTCCTTGCTTCTAGCTTTACTGCCGACGAAAACCAAAATAAAAATTAGAGTTACGTCCAGTCATTTTACCCCAAGGTTTTCAGTTACGTCCGACGGAATTCGAATTCAAAATTAAAGTTAAAGTAAAAATTAAAGTAGACGGAAATAGAAGTTTAAGTTATGTCCTGTGTAACCTACGCAACCTTATTGAATGTTACACTTTACGGCCTATACATGATGTAAACGCAAACATATCGTGAATTATTACTACGTTACGTCCGATGCAGCATTCCTTAATTGGTTAAAAGCGCTTGGTCCTATCTCGTCTACCTCGTATACTCGTTTTTTAGGCGCTTCACATGTTAAACATCTACCAAGTAGCCCACCTATCCATTTACCGTAACCTTAATTTTAATTTCGGGCTCCGTCGGACGTAACTTCACTCTTTATTTCGAGTTCGGTCGGACGTAACTTTAATTTTTATTTCGTGTTCGGTCGGACGTAACTTTAATTTTCATACTGGGTTACGTCGGACGTAATTCGCAGCCTTGGGGTAAACTTACGTCGGACGTAACTTTAATTTTTATTTCGGGTTCCGCAGGACGTAACGCTAGACACTGCGCTAAACACGACCTTTCTAGTGCCACGCCCGCCGCCCCCCCCCCCCCCCCCCCCCCTCTCAGCTTGTGGCAGTGGAAGTAAATATTCTCGCCCGCTATCTTCGATAAGTCCATTTCTATAGGTATACAAACCCCGCTACCGACGGTTTTTGCCCAGCCCGATGTGCGTGATGCACACATCACTTCAAACGTTCCAAAGGCTGCGCGAACACAACTCGACAATAAACGTGCTTTCAATCAATCGCCATGAAATTGCTGGCAAACAAACTTCAGCTCCTTGCACTGCGAACGCCACCTCCCCAGCCCACGACTCTCCTCTTTTACGCGCGGAAGGCGCCGTAATCCATGCCGGCTACACAAAAACCTCTCTACAGTTTTGCTTCTGCGACGCCCCCTCAAGCTCATCCATCTGCCCAAGCACGGAAACGCAATGAAAACACAACCAAACAAAACAGTCGCCACGTTTACAAAAAAAAAAAAAAAAAAAAAAAAACCACTTTACCACCCGCGCGGTTCGTACCACCCTTGCCATCAATATCCCTCCCCTTCTCAGCTCTCCAAAGTCAAGCCGCACAACTTTCGCAAGAAACGCCAACAGCCAAACTCATTTCAGCGTCTGAATGAACTCATGAACTCACTCACAATCACGAACGTTTCAGAGTTCACAGGTTCACTGCCTATCAGATCACGAACCCATCACGCTCACGATGCTACTCACAATCTCATCACAAACTCATCACGCTCACGAAGTCATTCACCACCCCATCATAAACTCATCACGCTCACGAAGTCACTCACCGTCTCGTCATGAACTCATCACGCTCATAAAGTCGCTCACGATCACATCATGAGCTGATCAGAGTTCACGAAGTCACTCACAATCACATCATGAACTCTTCAGACTTCACGAACTCGCTCACAGCCACTCACAATCACGCGGTGAGTGTGAGTGAGTGTGAGTGAGCGAGTTCATGAGTGAGTTTGCCGAGGTATGCTGGTGACTTCATGGAGCAGCAACGATAATCAAAAGCTTTCCGGCCAAGCGTTTCAGATGTTTAATTCTGGCTACCATCTCGGTAATAAGGTCCCACATATCGGAGCAACTAAAACAGAAGAACCGAGACGCTGGGACGTTGGTCAGCCCCAGTGGCCGTCTGGTGTCTCCGCTGTAGGTGAGAAATCTTGCAGCCTGGGGTCCGTCTACCACATGTATCGCCCAGTAGTGACTTTATGATCGCACGCCGGTACGATGCTCATCCAGTTCGAAACGGGCATGGTTCTGCGGTCTTACTAGACGCCCCGTGCAAGAAGAACGCCCAACACGCGAGAAATCTTCATACCAGTTGCCGATGCCGCAGTCGAGGAGTGCGTCCAGCAGCTTGAGTTCTTCAGCTGCCGTCCACGTTCTGCACAGGAGGGGGAACTCTGTCGTCTGCAACGGATTCGAAAAGTTCATTAGCACACGCTGCCCTAATCTCCTCGGTGCGTGCAACACAGGCATACCACAACGGTGTAGCGATGATCGTTCCTGTGGGTCCCGGACTCCGCGCCCTTGGAGAAACAGCGGATGCAGATCGCCAGTTTCGGTTCGCAATCGACGCAGAGTATGTGGACTTCGGTGAGCACGGTCGGACAAAATGAACATGGCTGGGCCATTCCTAGCACTAAAATGTCATTCTATTGCAACTTCGTCGGCGGTATGCACTACCAGGAATGAAGTACCACCGAGCGACCACACCACACTCCGGGCACAAACGTTTTGCTGTAGTTTTGCAGCACAGATCATAGCAGCCTCGCCGGCCTCGCCTCCACACATTCAAGGATTCTGTTGATTCGGTGAAATCGGCCATGATGCAGTTTTACAACCACACTACCGTATACATTTAATTACAAACGTGCGCCTTTAATGAATACGTTTAATTTAATAAATTACCTTAATTCAAATTATATTTTTGCAAATATTTTTTAAGTTAATTATATAATCATGATAATTGTAAAACCGCAATACTACATTCCCAGTTGGAGGCCGGCGATGAACAGCTGATTCAGCTTGCTGGGCACAATATTTTTCGCGCGCAAAATCGCATGTTTCTCGATCCGGTCGTGGTTTCTTTCTGGTACTGTGTTTTTGTCATGAGACTGTGGCGCGCTGTCAAGTTCATCAGCTGATTTACGTACTACAGCTAGTATAACACGTTCCGCGTAATGCGCCACCATGGAGTGCTCCGACGCCGAGTTCATCGCGGAGAAGACGAGCATCTCCGTGGTGCCCAACTTCAGGCACGACAAGGTGTACCTGATTGCTGGCGACGTGGGGCCCTTCGAGCCCAACCTGCCGGTGCAGGTGCCCCTGTGGATGGCGCTGAACCTTAAGCAGCGGCAGAAATGCCGCATCGTGCCCCCGGCCTGGCTGTCCAAGGAATATCTGGAGGACAAGAAGCAGGAGGAGATAGATTCGCCGCTCTTCACTAAGATGCCGAGCGACCACTACCTGGAGGTGACGCAGATGCTGTTCGACGTGGCCGCCACGGACATCCCGGACGCGAGCGAGGTGCAGACGCTCGTCAAGGACATTTGGGACATTCGCCTGGCCAAGCTGAGGAGTTCGGTAGACGCCTTCGTGAAGAGCGACGAGGTGCACGCCCGGATCGATCATCTGACGGTCATGGAGATCAACACGGTACGGCGGTTGCTGTCCGCCGCTCTCTGCCACCTCAACAGGCTACGGCAGGTGAGGTTACGGCCGGATGCTGGCCTCTGCGACGATGTCGGGAGAAGGGGCGGGGGGCCTCGGCTGTCACTGCGCGTTGTCTTTGGTCGCCGCGCTTGGAAGCTCGATCTCGCGTCCATGAGTTGCTTCATAACAAGTGGACTAACGCTCGAGCTTTCCGTTGGTTCACAGCCAGGGTTTGCCATGACTGTTTCTTTCAGCTTCATCCAGCGAGAACAGTGGCGTCAGAATCGGGATGAAAGGAAATTTCCCTCATCTCCCAAACACTTACAACAACACTGAGTGAGATCCATGAATATTTGACCATTTCTGTTTCGGGCTTCGTCCTGTGAGGCAGGTTTAAAGGCTCAGAGACATGCCAGACACGTCTTACAAGAAGGAAAAGTATGCAGCCAGGTCGGCATAATATAAACCCTGAGACACGGAGAAACAAAATAATGGACAAGATGGCACAAAATCTCTTGGTATTTTGTGTCGTCTTTTCTGTTATTTTATTTTTTTGTGTCTTTGGGTTTAGATTATAACATCTTGTTACCAACTTTTTCATGCTTGAACGTGGCCAACAAGTTGCTCATGTCTCCACAAAGCTACTCTTGTCAGGTTGGCAGACAACCTTTGGCGCTTTGACCAGCTTTTAAAGCTTGTGAGCAAACCCTTGTGTTCCTTTTTTGCCTGTGGGACATGAAACCTCTTTGTGAATGAGTAAGATAAAACAAATGGGTGGTTTGGTGGCCAAATGTGTCAACACACTACAGCTTGCTAGCACATGGAGCAAAAGCTTGCACTGCAGGCTGTGATATCTCAAGTTCAAACTCCACTCCTGCTTGTTCTGAATGACTACCCGGTGGTGCACATTAAAGAGATAATGAAGCGAAATTTGGATTTCAGAAAACAATGCAGGAGCTGTAGGCGGGGCGATACAATCCCTAAAACACTATCGTAAGGCAATATCTCGAATCGACGGTCATATTTTTGGGAAAAAAAGTTTGAGGCTGACGAGGCGAGATATCTTGATGTCACGTCAAGATATATCATTTCCTCCTCTTCATTTTGCCCCCTCAAGGCGGAGAGGCAGAGAAGACGCAAGGCCGTTCCCTCTCCTTCTTGGAGAAACAAGACGTAAACATATCTGTCAAATGCGCCTCCTTTTTGTGAAAAATATGGTCATTTGTTCGATATATCATTGCATTAAGATGTTTAGATGTTTGTAGCATCTTGTTGCACGCTTTTGCTGCCGTGCTTTGTGGAATCCGGATTTAGGTTCAGCATCTCTTTAAAGAACCCAGGGGTCCGATTTTGGCTACTGCCAGAGCAAGATCTAATGTTTCTTTCGCAGAGCGAGTGAAGATAGCGTTTCCAGACTGTTTGTCTGCTAACGTGAGCGAAGGATGTGGTTCGTCTGCTATGAAACGTGACTTGCAGGCGAGAATAAAACAAGAAAACGCCGCACGTCGTCTGATAACACACTGGAAAAAATGGTCATCATCTGCTACGAAGTAAGCACCGCGGCGAGACAAGATCAGGCGCTGGCTGAAATTGTGATCGTCTGCTATTTTACGTTGAAAGCCATTGACTACACGCACTTCATTTGCAAATTTCAAGTTCAGTTGCCATACAGAAGCCGACATCGACCGGTGGACAGAAGTACTAAAGGGAAGCTACGGAGCTTCTTGGAAAAAATGAGTTAGAAGTGAATTCTAGTGGATTTTTACCCCGTGAACCCGAATACCCAAACCATTTGCTGCGTAAGTATTGCTAAACGCGAGAAAAACGCGAAAGACAGTCGCTGTCCGTGACGTCATCGACGGCTCTTTTGGCTGCCCAAGGCTAGGGAGGCGGGGCTTCAGTCCTATTTTGAAATTGCTCGTATGGCTCTCCAACGCGTCGCATTGAAATACAATTTTGATATCTGTTAATCTAAAGGCCAAATGAACGCAATTTAAGCGTTTTTTCTCAAATGTAGAAGTGCCCCATCTTCCCTTAAAGACGAGCACATCAGTGGCGGAAAGATCTCAATATTTGTACGTTGGCGAGATGTTCTCACTGAAATATTACCAAATTGTGAACTCAAAAACGGGCCAAAAATGTCTCACTGGTTGATTACATGCAAGCTCTAGCACCATGTCTAATCAGAAGCCGAGAGCGCTTTCGCTCTCACCTTCACCAAAATCAGACCCCATATTTCCAACTTGCAAAGTAAACAAGGTAAAGCTTTGCCATCCAGTCGTGCAAACATCTAATCTGATATTTAAGTTCACGAAAAAACAGCCAAATTGTCTTGTGCAAGAATGTTACATATACATGCAAAATGAATACCAGAAACTGCCTGCCAAATTCAAAAAAGAATAAACACCAACAGTGATAAGTCATACAAGAAATCATGCAAAAGTAACTGGATTCTGAAATAGTAGTGCCAAGCTCCCCATAGGGTTGCCATTTTGGCTCATGAAATGAGCAATTTCTCCTTGACCTCTCCATTCTTCGTGAGCCGATGTAAACTCGCTGACGACAGGTTGCCTTGGAGATGCGCTTCTATACCGACATTTTGCTTTCCGCACACCGACGAAACAAGCATACATCTTCGTACCATCATCAGATGCGGCATCGGTGCTTGGAAGCATTGAAAAATAATTTTCTTGTTTTGAAATATGCAAGAGCATTATCATTGCCAGAGATCTGTGGAAATAAGCATGATTGATAAGTTATTATATACACAATGCCAAAGATGGCAAGGAACGTTTTTAGTGCGGTGATATTTGCTCCATTGCGATCTTGGCAGGACTGGTTTAGAACGACCCTGTCGAAGCTTTGAAAGGACCAAAATGGCAACAAAGTCCGATCAGCCAATCGCCTTGCGAGGTTTTGGTCGTCTGTATCTTAGTATCCGTTTGTGTCCTGTTAGCAGGCAGGGAGGCAATAGCGCTACTTTCCCAGAATCCAGCGACTTTAGCTCAAACTTCTCTCACGTGCATCTTTCGGTTAGCGGACACCTAGAGCGAACCCAGAATATGTTTCTAGTTTACCCATCTTTGCTGCGACACCTTGATTATGTGCACCTTCTGGGTGGTGGCCATCTTCATGGTGACTGTCTTTTTGGCTATTCAGGTGGTAGGAGCTCCAAATTTCGAAGTTTTCTGATAGGCAAGCGAGCTAACGGAGTTAGGGAAAACATGCAGGCCCGATGTAAGGTACAGTGGACTCGCGATAATTCAAACTCAAATATTTCGTGCTTCCGGTTAATTTTAATGAATTAGAAAAATTTTGTTGTCCTACTATGTTTTTAATGCATTAGTAAGCTGCTTAATTCAAACAGCGTTTTCGCTTAATGCATAATATTTGTTCATCGTGGCAGGTTAGTATGCTTCTCACCGAGCACCTGTGTACTGTGGGAAAGCAATACCCACAAAGCTCGCAGTCATTTGCTTTTTCGTGGTAGACGGATGCTCGGTGAGAAGCTCACTCGATGGGACTAACGCACCGCAATTATGCAAGAGGAACTGACCTGACAATCTGCTTTCATTATTCATGCTTGTTTTTCCATGTTTTCTTTTTTGGGGGGTTCTTTTTTTTTGGGGGGGAGGGGGCTAAATTTGAGATTAAAGAATGAATATTTGCATATAGCAAGCAGATTTATAAATTTTCTCGATTAGAACAGCTGGGAGTCTCTTTAAGTTCAATTTTATTTCAAATCTGTCATTTACATGCCATTCCAATGTAGGCATTGGACTTCCTGAGGCCACAGTTCATAGATAAAGTTATATTGAAACTAGCTGAGCTTAGAAGTGGACAAGTGGAAGGTTGGGAACAATTCTTTCAGAAGTTCACCTGAATTTTCGTTTAAGCATGGTACAACAGTAGTAAAAAACTTGGAGAAACTATTCTACATTTGATCAGAAAATATTCAGCCAAAACCACTGTCACTTTGAACCTCACCAATGTTTTGTGTGTGTGCCTGCTTAGCATATGTAGCTATTCCTATAGCAGGTCGCTACTTTGCCTCGCATCAGATGAATTCCTGATAATTCCACCTTCTTATATTTCATACTGAAGTATGTGGCTTTCTGGAGTGTGAATTAATAAGAGTCGACAGTATACTGTAAACGACTTAATTTTCGCGAGGACCTAAATTTTGTGAATCACCTACGATTCGCAAAAAATAGGTCCCGCGAACAATTCCGGTAAAATGCAAACACATTGGAATTTATATTAAGATCCCACCATGTCGCGAAAATTAGAACCCACAAATTATTCCAAAACTTCAGCTTTGAGCTAAATCACGAAATATTGAGCCCGCGAACAATAAGTTGTTTACAGTATATAGGAGAGGATACACAGCACGGTGAACGGTGCGATGGGGTTGGCCAAATAGTCCTAGTGGCACGCGCCCAAGTAGCCTCAACCGATAGTGTCTCCGCCGTCCAGATCGCACAACTAAGGAACAAAGAAAAACAAGTGTCTCATTCCCATGGCAACCGGGCACGCATTCTTTTTGCTGGGAGTATCTGCTCTGACCTTGACGAATGCTGGCTTGAACACTGCGTCAGGGATCTCTTCGGTTTAGCGCATTCATAGGACTGGTATTGCCGCAGGTGAGGCACGAAACAAGGCTCAATGGCGAAGCAGTCTCTAAGCGACACGTGTAGGACAAGTGCCCAAGTTCTGCATGGCATGCTGCCCCAGAAAAGGACTTCGAGCATTTCTCTCAAAGAGAAGCATGGGAAACCGGGCTCGCGATAAGCCGCCATTACCTGCATATTGAGGAGCTATCTGGCGGCACCGCTTACAACCAGGGCAAGGAGAGGACTATCTGGCAGCTGCAATGTGTTCGGTGTCCACGTCTACCATATATATATAGTATATATCTTGTACCATGGATGTAGGTAAGCTGGTTTAATATAACATTGTAGTCCTTCAGAGGGTTAAAGTGGGCGACTTCATTGTTTTCCTCCATTCTGGGTACGTCAAAGATTTAAACATGACTGAGAGAACAGCCCATCAGTGACACCTTGCCGGCTGAAACCAGTAAGTTCCAGGGAAATGTTTTCATAAATTAAGGGGTTCACAAATCAAGGGTGACATAGTAACGAAAGTGTGCACCAGCTTTTCCTAACTGGTCATTGTGGACTTTGGTACCAAGACAACTGGAGGAATAGAGTAGTAACTAGTTTCCTGTTGCCATTGCTGACTTCAGTCCAAAAAGGTGGGGGCAGGGAGGGCGGTTGCCTCCCTCTAGACATTTGTTTCGTAATGGCAGCACCCTCATCTCCTGTACATTTCCTTACGCCACTGCTTCAATCAGTTGTTACTCCTCACTGTAAAATTATGCATCACCACTTGCCTTTATTTGCATGTGCACTCTTTTTTATGTCTGTCCACAGTTTGGATTTTGTAGGTGAAAATACAGGCTGTGCTTTCAGTGTGTCTCCCACAAAACTGCTTGTGGCTTGAAAATCGAGAGTAGTTTACATCAAGAAGTTCTGTTCCCTAGGAATTCGTCAGGGTATTGACGAGTTTAGTAACTTGATGTCTCGCTGTACTTGGTTTGAAGAGGTGGTGTCAAGATCCTGTGGCCTGGAGATAGGCATGCTGTATTGTCTTCTGCTTTTTTTTCTGATGACAGCCACCTGGTGTCCACATGCCATTGCAAGACTTTCTTGCTTGGCAAGCAAGCTTTCGAAGGGGCCATGAAACAAATCTGTGCTTAAAACGAAGCAAATTAGACATTGAGTGTATAGCGAGCATGAGGTCAGTACAAGTTTGGGATATGGTGACTCTGGTTCTTGCTGTAGATGCGAAATTTTGCCAATGCTGTATCACCATGGGGTCTTTAACAAGGGTAACACAGTAATAATTACATAAATGCATGGCAGTGCAATGATCACTCAGATTGAAAAGGGCAGGGTAAGTGTCAAGCACGGGATATATGGGCTTCAGGTTGCAGTGCACTAATACACAAGACCACCCACTTTCAGGGTGTTGATGTCTAAGATGAGAGGGGTTGGGTGATGTCTGAACGACGCCAAGCTGTGACTGGCTTTGTTTGAAAGGATAGAGGGTAGACCTCAATGCTAGATGCCTTGAGGTCTACCCACAATATTTTTATAATAACCGACAAGAACTCGACGTTCTGACATCACTGCAACCCCCTGCGTAAGAAGCAGATGAACTTGTGCTCTTCATTAAGTGCACTATATCACATACACCCACTTGTTTGGTTTTGGAGAAAAAGTAAGCTGAGGAGGGGAGTGGCTTTTTTTTTTTTAGAGCGCAGCTCTTAGGGGCCCGTTTCCGGCTTGAGCGGCGTCGCCGTCGCCGTCGCCGTCGCCGTCGGTGTAACCGCGCGGTGCATCATGGGAAATGTCCCATAATGCACCGCGCGAGCCCCCTACCGGGGTCACGTGACTTCGTGGGGGGGCACGTGACCCCCCCCCCCCCCCCGAGGTCACGTGACCCCCCGAAGTCACGTGACTCCCCTGAGGTCACGTGACCCCCTCCTCGAGGTCACGTGACTCCCCTGAGGTTACGTGACCCCTCCTCGAGGTCACGTGACCCCCGGCGATGTCGCGTGACCCCCCGATGACGTCATCGACACTGATGACGTCACCGGCATCCACATCGTCATCGTCATCATCACTGATGACGTCAACATCAGTGATGATGACGATGCGGATGCCGATGTGGATGCCGGTGACGTCATCAGTGATGATGACGATGACGATGTGGATGCCGGTGACGTCATCAGTGATGATGACGATGACGATGCGGATGCCGGTGACGTCATCAGTAATGACGACGATGACGATGCGGATGCCGGTGACGTCATCAGTGATGATGACGATGACGATGTGGATGCCGGTGACGTCATCAGTAATGATGACGATGACGATGTGGATGCCGGTGACGTCATCAGTGATGATGACGTCATCAGTGACGTCACTAATGTCGTCACCGGCATCCGCATCGTCATCGTCATCATCACTGATGACGTCGTCAGCGACGTCACTGATGACGTCATCGGTACCCGCATCGTCATCGTCACTGATGACATCATCAGTGACGTCAGTGATGACATCATCGGCATTGGGGGTCACGTGACCCCCAAGGTCACGTGACCCCCCCCCCCTGGTTAGTCTAACCCCCCCCCCCCCCCCCCCCAGCGCCCTTCCGTCCTCCTCCTCAAGAGCGGCGCTCCAATTCGGCGTTACAGGGAGTTGTAAGCGGCTTTCACTTTTTAGAGCGCAGCTCTTAGGGGCCCGTTTCCGGCTTGAGCGGCGTCGGCGTCGCCGTCGCCGTCGGCGTCGGCGTAACCGCGCGGTGCATCATGGGAAATGTCCCATAATGCACCGCGCGAGCCCCCCACCGGGGTCACGTGACCTCGTGGGGGGTCACGTGACCCCCCGAAGTCACGTGACTCCCCTGAGGTCACGTGGCCCCCTCCTCGAGGTCACGTGACCCCCGCCGATGTCGCGTGACCCCCGCCGATGTCGCGTGACCCCCCTATGACGTCATCGTCACTGATGACGTCACCGGCATCCACATCGTCATCATCACTGATGACGTCACCGGCATCCACATCGTCATCATCACTGATGACGTCACCGGCATCCACATCGTCATCGTCATCACTGATGACGTCACCGGCATCCGCATCGTCATCATCACTGATGACGTCACCGGCATCCACATCGTCATCGTCACTGATGACGTCACCGGCATCCACATCGTCATCGTCATCATCACTGATGACGTCACCGGCATCCGCATCGTCATCGTCATCATCACTGATGACGTCACCGGCATCCACATCGTCATCGTCACTGATGACGTCACCGGCATCCACATCGTCATCGTCATCATCACTGATGACGTCACCGGCATCCACATCGTCATCGTCATCATCACTGATGACGTCACCGGCATCCACATCGTCATCGTCATCATCACTGATGACGTCACCGACATCCGCATTGTCATCGTCATCATCACTGATGACGTCATCAGTGACGTCACTGATGTCGTCACCGGCATCCGCATCGTCATCATCACTGATGACGTCATCAGCGACGTCACTGATGACGTCACCGACATTCGCATCGTCATCGTCATCATCACTGGTGAAGTCATCAGTGACGTCACTAATGACGTCATCGGTACCCGCATCGTCATCGTCACTGATGACGTCAGTGATGACATCATCGGCATTGGGGGTCACGTGACCCCCAAGGTCACGTGACCCCCCCCTGGTTAGTTTAACCCCCCAGTGCCCTTCCCTCCTCCTCCTCAAGAGCTGCGCTCTAATTCGGCATTACAGGGAGTTGTAAGCGGCTTTCATTTTTTTCTTCCCTTCTAAACAGATTCCTATCCTGTGCTTTATAAATATGTATAGTTTCCAGGATTATTTTCTAGCCTAGCCAGAATTGCAAAACCTCTTCACGTAGGGTTACAAAAAATGAGTGGCAAGCATTAAACGAGGACACGACTGAACGAGTCAGTGTTTTTGCGGTAAACACGTAACCAAACAAGACTCCCGAAAATAAACACTTTTATTGACTCGAACATGCATGGGCCGGCAGCCAGGTGTTGTGGCTAAAGATATTGGCTGAAACTTGGCTTCCCCTTTTCATTTCAGGGTTTCGGTGACGGCTCTTCTTCTCAGAGCCAAGTACTCTGAGGTGCGGGGAAAGGATGCCGCACACAACCACCACCATCATCAACACTCAACGTAACCGAAGGATCCAGACAGTGCTCGACGGAAAAGAGCACTCCGCGGTGCATCCCGTCGGCTCAGTCTTCGAGCATCATGGAAACCAGTCCCGCATCTTGGCACTCCTGGTCGTTCAGTCTCCTGTTCTGCATTTGCAACGGAGAGAGACAATGCAAACATTTCATTTGTGGTACGAAACCACCCCTGTTGGCTTTACGTTTTTGTGAACTTCGACGCGCCATTCGATTGACGCATCGGACCTATCTACACTGCAAAGCTTGTTAAACTAAAACTTTAGTTTGTACTTATTTCGTGGCTGCAGAAGGAACCCCTGGCTATGGTGTCCGGAGCACGTCTTCGACCGGTGTGTTTACTGCATCCTCAAATGTGGTCCCTCGGTTTTCACCCGATGATGTCAGAAAAGCATTATGTTGTTTGATGTCGTCGCGATCCTGCTGATGGCACAGCAGGGAAGAGGATACGGCAGACTGCCGTCTGCTGTGGTGCGCTCTCGGCTCGACGGTTCATGGAAACTTCTGCAGCAATGAGTTGGGACGCCGTGACACTGGCGCTTGCTCGTCGTTTTTGCCACTTCACGACCGACTGCCAGGATCACAACGTCCAACAGTAGAACATGCCAGCTCCTGTGAGGTCACTCGTTGCCTCCTTAGGACCACTTTCGACGCACGAGCCATATGGGATGCTAAACACACCAATCTAAGGTGCACTCCAGTCACCGTGCTTCTGGCAGAAATACTGTTAGGAAATAGTCTCATGCTCATGGCTTTTTGAGAAATGCAAACGGGGCAACGCTGTGTTCACCAACGAAACTAAGTGAAGCTGCGTGGCTGTACTATTGCGGCTAAGGACGCCGTTGCAACAGGGATGTGCCACATGGTGACTGAGTGCCACATTAAGGTGGGAATTTGAAGTGATTGTACAGTTCCATTGTGCCAAGTAGTAGAAGCGTTTCAGATAATACTGATGATTGGAGCAAAATTCAGTCATTGTCATCACACTTGTTCCAGGACAGGGTGCAACTGCGACTGGAGCGTTGCAATAAGTGGCCTCTATGGTGTACATATCTTTTTGTGTGGCCACGGTCCTACCAAGGCCACTTTCAAAATGTGGGAATTAAGGTTTATTTCCTCAATACAGGAGAAATACTTCTTTCATGGTTTAATGAAGTTTCCTATTCACAAAAATGTATTAAAGGGGCCCTGCAACAACTTTTTGACTGATCTTTAATTTGCACCAATCCTGAGCGCACTGAACGTTGAACCATAATGAAACTTTTCTTTTCTCAAATTTCGCTTTAGTTTAAAAGTTATAGGCAAATTAGAATTACAAAAACAAGCAAAAAAGAACCTCCTTCATGACGTAGTAGGTCCTGGCTTGAGCGGCCGTGAACTAGAGGAGGGATAGTGAGCTCATCGAGCGCTCACGGCTGCCGCACTCCGTGTCGACGGCTCGAGAGGGCACCACTAAAGCACGTGTTGGATAGGCTGTATGAAGCGGGCGGTCAGGGCGGCTTGCATTGCATTTGCAGCACGGTTAAAGACTAATTCAGCATAACACTTCATTGGCCACAAACGACAGCAAACACAAGGTAAATATCAGTTCAGAACGGGAGCCACTTCGCGCTGGGATACCGCCAAATGGCAAAATCGCCAGCAAAGCCGGCGCCGAAAGCCTTGGGAACGCTCGGAACCGGTCGGATCCTCGACCGCAGCGCCGCCGCATACATCCGGGACCTTTCTATGCACGCTGTTCGTCGGCGCCTCATCGCACCAGCCCTTTCTAGTATGCGCAGTTTTTTCCGCCGCTTGGTGGTGGGTATGTCGACGGGTCATTTCTTGTTTCCTTACTTTATAAACTGCATTTGTTTCTTTTCTGATCTCATAAACCGAACGAAAACTACTTTCATACATATTTTAAACGGTTCGCGACACTTATATTTTGTATCTCGACTAAAAAAAAATATTTTAGCGGTTCTGACCAGTAGTAAGCCCAGGACCAAAGACGTCAGATATTGCGCGCTTTCGCCAACGCGGGTCGCCCTCGTAGGTGGAGGAGGTTTCCGCATCGTCCGGTTAAAATATGACGCACTGATATTTAGTTACTCTCTACATGCCCGCTGGCTTGCCCGAACCCCAAGAGACCCGGAAACCACAAAAAAGGGAGACGCCTAAATATGATTGCAGGGCCCCTTTAAAGGGGCCCTGCAAGCACGTTTTTACTAATTTTTAATTTGTACCAAACCTGAGCGCACTGAACGTAGTAACTTAGTGTAACTTTTATTTTCTTGAAATTCGCTTTATAGGCAAATCAAAATTACAAAAACAAGCAAAAAATAACCTCCATCATGACGTCCTTGGTTGCTTGAGCGGCCGTGAACTAGAGGAGGGGCAGTGAGCTCATCGCGAGCGCTCACGGCTACCGCACTCCGTGTCGACGGCGCGAGAGGGTGCCACTAAAGCGTATTCTGGATAGGCTGTATGCAGCAGGCAGCCACAGCGGCTCTTATTGCATTTGCTGCGCGATTAAACACTAATTCGGCATGACACTTCATTGGCCGCAAACGACAGCAAACATTGGGTAAAGATCAGTTCAGAGTGGGAGCCACTTCGCGCTGCCATACCGCGAAACGGCCAAACCGCAAGACAAGCATCTCGCCGAAGGCCTTCGGAAGGCTCGGAGCCGGTCGGATCCTCCTGCCCATACGACCGCAGCGCTGCCGCGTACATCCGGGATTTTTCCGTGTCGGCGCCTGATCCCACTACTCCTTTCTAGTATGCGCCGCCTTTTCCACCGCTTGGTGGCGGGTATGTCGACGGGTCATTTCTTGTTTCCGTACTTTATAAACTGCATTTGTTTCTTTTCTGTTCTAAAATAGTGAACAAAAACTACTTTTATAAATAATTGAAACGATTCGCGCCACTTATATTTTGTATTTCGACTAAAAAGAAGCTTTTAGCGGCTCTGACCAGTAGTAAGCCAAGGACCAAAGACGTCACATTTTGTGCGCTTTCGGTACCGCAGGTCGCCCTCGTCGGTGGAGGAGGTTTCCGCGTCGTCCGCTTAAAATATGATGCACTGATAATTAGTTACTCTCTCCGTGCCCGCTTGCTTGCCCGAACCCCAAGAGACGTGGAAACCGCGAAAAAGGTAGACGCTTAAATATGATTGCAGGGCCCCTTTAAGGGGAAATATAAAGTTAGTATTCAACTTCTTAATGATAAAATATTGATTAAGTAATTTTTTATCCAAAATCTTTGATGGGGTCACGAAGAAATAATCATGAAAAAGTGGCAGTTTGTTGGGTCTCGGGACATAAAGGTTGCTCAGGCTCCACCGGCTAAATGGGTCGAGACGTTACACCAGAACACACTGAGCAAGTGCCAAAGTCGGAAAATTTGACAGCAACCCAATCAAAAATGGGCACTTAATTAAAATAATGCCTGGATGCTCAAACAGGCACCTAGCCGCATATCACGGTATGTACATCCATCCATACGTGCTACATCGAGTGCGCAGTTTATCCACTATGCAACTTACCCAGCCCCAGCGGATCAGCGTGGGCACGCATGTCAACTTGAGGGTGTTGTCTGTTCTGAAGGGGTTGTCCCTCTTGACCCAGCTGAAACAGGAAGCCACAAATGTTAATAAGTATAACTAGGCCTTGGGGTGCGAAGGTAAAATGCCTCAACATTTCAAACCGATCAGTTATTTTCTCGTGTGAAGCACTAGCTCCACCTAAATTATTTCTCACTAAAAAGCCACATATTTACTGAAAAAAAAAAGCAAAAAAAAACGGTCAAACCAATAGACTAGTGCATAAGAACCCGATGTAAAACTATGGAATCTACCTGGGGTTTTGAGACGTGTTCAGTTTCTTTATATAATGCTTTTGGCGTTTCAGTAACACAAATTTTGTTTTGAGCATTCTGGTGTTTTTATTAACCCCTTAAACGTTTTGGACGAGCTAGGCTCGTCCACTAGAGCCATCCCCAAATTGTTTAGGACGAGTAATGCACCATCGTTCTCCCCTTGGCTGTTTTGAATGACCCAGGCTCGTTCAGAGCATGGTTTTCAGCGACCGCACTGTGTCGTGTTCCCACCTGTTATGTCAAACATCAGGGCTCTAGTTTCGGTTTGAGGTCGGTGCTCCTGCTACAACAGAGGTGGCAGCAGCATCAGTTTGCACTATGCAAGTTTGTTTGGGACCAGTTCTTTATGCATAACTTCGCAAGTGCGATTCATCCCGGGAGAGAACTCGCACAATGCCAGCACGTGTGAAATCTGACTAGCAAATGCAGAAACAAATTTTGAGCCTCAAGTAATTTTTGGGGGGTTATTGGACCCTGGTGGCTCATCTTTCCTTAAGTATTTAGGTCTGTATGAATGCCCCGTAGGAGTCCTTTTATTGAAGGGACCTTGAAAAACAGCAAAGAGAAATTAACAATCTTTGTCTTTTAACTTTTCTGACGTAGAACGAGGTGAAAACCAACTCACAGGTCTTTGTCTATGCTGCACGTGAGGAGAATCGTATTGTCAGGACCATCCTTCAGAGCTTCTTCAATTGCAGGCTTTGCTGGAAAAAGAAAGGGTTCACCCTCTCAGCGGCAGACTTGTAGTATTTTCAAAACAGGGATATTTTATTTGTTACATTTCATTTATTGTCCTCAAATCGCCCAAGGACATCATGTAAGGGGAGAGTCTCCGAAAGTAATGATTACTTCTTACAAAAGAAATACAAATATAAAGGAGTATAGCATGCATTCACATGTGGTAATCAGCATGAGCTGTAGAAAAACCAACCGCCTAGATCCACAGCTTTGACGGCATGCAATGTATCTGGTGAAAATTTGCTATAATGTGTGCTCAACAGAAACAGGCACCGCAGTGGTGGTCAGTGAAAAAAGCTTGCCACACAGCGGTTTTGGCATTTGGTTGCTACCAAAAACAAAATAAAGGACATCTTTGAGCTTGATTTACTTTCTCTAGTCAATTCCAATATTTAAAGGCAAAAGGAGCATACTTTCTTATGCATGGGATCGTTCCCGGTATTTTACATTACCGTAGGAGATATCACTGCCCTTACAGTTAACAATTTGGTGAGGATATTGAGAGGCGATTTTGCAGCTTTTTTTCCATTTGTCCCCGGCACAACAAATCCCCTTGCACCTTCCCATCCCTTGATCCTGTCACCTTGTTGCGATACAATCTGAGATAGTATTGTAACAATGTGCACAATAAAAACGTACTGCAACAAAATGCGCACTCTGCCTTTAGCAAAGTGCACCTTGTGCTGAGTCTTTCCCTGGTACCACGGAAACTTCAGTGTGCTGAACACGTTCCATGTTCATAGGGTGACCACACGTCCCGTTTTAGAGGTTGATTTCTGCCGTCCCGTCACTTTGTTGCAATGAAGCCTCATCTCCAGTCTGTGGAGGAATGTGCATAGTCGTGAAATCAGTACGAACTTCTTGTGAAAATGTTACATCTGTAGAGTACAATTTGGAGCTCTTTCTATGGTTACATCTGCATATAAATTCATTTGCATAAATGCGTGTGCAGAAAATGTTTTCTATTGCCAGATTTGGCACGCCTTGGATGACAACCTTCTCCACCTATTTTTGAAATACTTAGGGTCTGAATGAAGAACCTAGAAAAAATGTGCATTTTACTCTAAAAAATGTAAACATGCACCCTGCCCCCGCCCCTATTGTCCCCGTCTTCACCCGATGTCCCGTTTTCTACTCCAAGGATTATGGTCACCCTACATATGTTCAGCACAGATGAAGGGCCTATTTTTAGCACCATGCGATCAAAGGTAAAATATTGTTTAATGGCCCCCCTGGCTGCAGCACTTAAATGGTATCCTGTTGTTAGTGGCAGGCCATTGCTCTATCATGCTGCCCTAAGGGTCTTTGGCAAACTCGTCGTGTCTGTCAGAGACCTGTGACTAGATAGTTACTCAGCTGCTTTGACTGTCAGAACCGCGGTGCCTTCGGGCAGACTGCGGGTCAATGGATTCCCAGCTGGTGGAATCGAAATGCTGGCCGAGGTGTTTGGAATTTGAAGATCTTCACGTGGCCCAAAATTAATGCCCAGTCCTTTGACAAACTCTGTCCACATGCCCCTTGTTGGTTTGTCAAGTAAACGAAAGTTATAGAATTTCGTTTCAAACTTTGTTCAGTTCAGAGATAATGCTATTAAGATGGGTGACCTCGACAGCAAATTTGAAGAGTTGTAGCACTCAAACGTGCAGCATAGATGTCCTAGCACTCACTGTCCTGCATAAAATTCTGTGAACTTTGTCCCACATAAAATGGCTATGTAGGACACATGGCACGTACTGCACATGGTACTACCTGCAAGGGGGAACTGTCCATTCCCCCAAAAAAGTTGTGCTCTTTTTTTTCACAGCTAAAATAAACAATGCATTACCAAACGCTCATCTCCATCCAAATATAGCCAAGCCAGATGCCTAGTTTTCATAAGTATCCATTGTCTCATTCGAAAGTTGAGCGATCCGTCGACCGCCATTTTCCCACTGAAAATTTCAGAAAGTCAGAGGTAACTTCTGAATGAGACAACGGATAGTTCTGAAACTTCGGCAACTGGTTCGGACCACTAGTGTAACATTTGGGCAGAGAACGAGCATTCGGTGATGCACAGTTCATTTTTATGGAGGGACATGGAAAGCGTGAACCTGGTGCATGGTTAGATATGTCTGTTATGTAGTAGTGCCTTTGATTGTGTCTACTGTCACTGGGAAGCAAACTTGCTCAAGGGCGATGAATATGACCAAGTCCTGACTTAAAACAAATGCCTATAGACTTGAGTCTTGACTTCTTTTCAGTTTCGATCCCACTTCTGATCATCCAAATTTTACATGGCGTACTGGAACCCGAGGCCCTATAGCTGCAGTAACATTTCCTTGAGTCCTGCATAAACTCGTACATGGACAAGAGAGATATATGCTGAGGTTAGCAAGTCCTCGCAACCTCTCGACAATCCTTAATTTAAGAACATTAAAATTCAAAAACAAAAACGAATCCAGACTTTAAATATGGCATAGTTCTTAATCGGGTTCATGCGACTCTCAAACTGTATACCCAATTTCTTTTATGAGCCAACGGATACCCTGCACTGCCACATATTTTATCCTTGCCTATCTCAAATTACAATGACAAGAAAACGAAAATATTATGTTCTATGTTCAGACGGTGTTGTAACTCTGAAGTAGACACGGGGCAGGTGTTCTGCCGGAGCCTGGTGCCGGCATCGTAGTCAAAATGGAAGACCGGTCTAGATCCAGGGCGTCTCTTGTCTAAGACCGTTTATTTTTAACAGAGAGCCCCGTGTACATCAGATGTTGCTCCTTTCAAAGTTTCTTGTTTCCTTTGCCGATAGGGAGGTGCCTCTCTCAGCAGGTCCGCAGCCAATCGGGTTCCGATCAAGATCTATCGGGGCACTTCCCCCCTTCCCCTTTTGCGAAAGCACAAGTGCAAACACGGTCACTTGGCGAAGCCAGCTCAGAAGGGCGACGACGCCACTCTGTTGCGTGGAACGAGACAGGGGGAGCGACCATCCTTGCCTCCATCGCAGCCGTCCCGTAACCTCCCAGGCGCCGACTCCCAACAAAGAGGAGAAAGATTTAGCCGGACTGCTGAGTTAGCTGCCGTCATCGAGGTTTATTAGCTCGCTGGGTCCAGGCATCGCTGCGGCGGGGAAAAAAATCCTCCCAAGCATGGAAAAGCTGTCTCGTAGCCATTCCCGGCCAGGGAAAGAATAAGGCAGAAATCCCAAAAAGTCACCACCAAGATTTGGTGCGATGGCGTCCCAGTGGCGGGGGAACAGTGCCTTCCAAGTGGATGAAGGGGTCTCTCTCATGGCTGTTCACTACAGCTTCTCCATGGCCTGGAAGACAGGAGCCACCGCTTCACTCCTGAAGAGATCAACCTTCAAGCAGCACGAAGAAACGGCACACAAACGGAACTAGTAAGTGCCCATACCGCTTCCGAAGCCACCAGGCATTTGCCCATTATAAAGTTCTACCTTAAATTGAAATGCCTTCTTTCAAAGTGTGGCATGAGGCCCCAATGCCAGGATGAAGTCAGTTCACACATTACAATGCAGTTACATAAAAAAAAAAAAAACAAGAAAGGCCTCATTCCTCACCTATAGGTAAAATAATAACCGGAGAAGTACGAAAAAGCAAGCAACATGACTTTAGAAGACCTACCCAGGCCATCTATGTTTGTGTTGGCTGATCCCTTTTTATACTTTCAGTAAAATTGAGCTGCTGCAAAGCCAGGCTCCACCGTCGAAGGAGCACATTTTTGGATGACATTCGGGTCAGCCATGTCAATGTGCAGTGATCGGTAACGAAGACAAATGGGACTCTGTACAGGTAGCAGGGTAGTTTTAGAGTTGCCCTCATCAGGCATGCCCAATACTTTTCCGAGGCACTAAATGCCTTCTCTTGGGTGCTGGGCTTTCCGCTTGCGTAGAGCACGGGGTGTTCCTCTCCACAGTCGTCCTCCTGGCAGAGAAAGACGCCCAACTCGCGATTACTCGCATCGCACTGCATAACAAAGGAACTGTTGTTATCCGGCGTCCTCAGCACAGGAAAACTTCATAAAGCGCTCTGCAGCCGTCAAAAGGCCCACTCCATTCTCTCCGTCCATGCGACCCTTTCCAACGCGCCCTCTCTCAGCATGTCCGTTAGGGGCCTAACTACCTCGGAATACCGTGCTATGTAGTGTTGATAACAACTCGTCAAATCGAGGAAGGCCCAATGTTTGTTTTCTACAGGTTGCGAGTTTTTTTTATTGCCTCCACTTTGAGCTCGTCCGGCCAGCGTCAGCCGTGGCCCTCTACATGCCCCAGGAAGCGCTCTTCCCCTTTCCCTGCTGGCACTATGCAAGTCTTACTGTTAGTCCGGCTTTATGCATTCGACTGAAAACGTCTCAGAGGTGGCTGAGTTGGTCTTCCCAAGTGGCTGAGAAAATGGGCACGTCATCTAAATAGGACGGGGCTAATGTTTCAGTGCCCTTCAACACTCCATCCATTAATCTAGAAAAACAAAAGGGGGCAATTTTTAGTCCAAAACTTAGCACAGTCAAGCGAGACCTTCCCGAAGGAGTTACAAAAGCGGCATATAGCTCACTTTCTTTGTCATGGGAACTTGCCAGAGCCCTCGAACAAGGTCGAGAGTTGAGACGTACTTGGCTCACTTACTTCGTCCACCCTCTCCTCGAGGTTTGGAATCGGATACACTTGGGTCTTTAGTGATCACGTTAAGTTTGAGATAATCGGCGCATGGTCCAGAGTCCTTTCCAGGGCTTCCCACAAGAATCACCGGTGAGGTATAGACCAACACGCGACCCTGACGTCACGCCGCTGCAGTGGCGCTGTCGACGGCCCTGCGCGTGCTCAGACGCTTCACTTCACGCGAGTTCAGTTTCTGCACACGCGCAGTGCCCACACCTGGTGTGGGCAAACGCGGGCTTGTTTGTAAACAGCCTGTCGGTCTATACTCACTTTCGCAAGAGACAATGACTCCTAACTTTACCATCCGGTCGATCTCCAACTTTAGGATTTCTTGCTGTCGGGGAGCCATGTGGTACGGCCAACGCATGATTGGAATACCAGAGTTAAGCTCTAGGTCATGCGTCACCACTGACGTCTTCCGAGGATCTCTGAAAATACCCCTTTAAACTCTTTGATCAATCACCTCATGTCCGTCACCTGAGACGCCGTCAATTGCTTGCATTGTACTGTGATAGCAATTACCTCCGTGGCTCAAACAAACCTGTCTGTTAGCTCTCCTAGTTGCGGAACTTCTAGCTCACTCTCGTCGGACACATTCAGCGCAATGTTGATTGACTCAAAGCTACTCGCATAGGGTTTCGCTAGGTTATAGTGGTAAATCTAAACTGATTTACGTTTACCTTGTATCTCAATGGCATAGTTGGTATCCAAAAACTTTTGGGCCACCCGGAGAGGCTCTCCTCAATGCACATCCAAGGAGTGCAGCAAAAGCACTGCATCTCCTTCAGAGTACTGCCAAAACTGAGCGCACTTCTGTCATAGTACCTTTTTGCTCTTTCTTGCAAAACCATCATGTTAGTCTCCGCGATATCTCTGGAGCTCTTGAATCTTTCTAACAGGGTTAGAATGTACTCTACTACGGTGGGGTCAGAAGCCTCCGATTCCCATGATTCTCCAGAAGAGTCTGATCGGCAAATGCATGCCTCGACCGTAGACCAGCTCTGCCGGGCTACAGCTTCGTGAGGTACGGAACGGAGGGCGAACAACTTTGGCCTAAACGCAGGCCTCCCATTCTCATTTGTGCTAGTATATAAGCGCTCGCAACACGCTCTTCAGCGCCAAGCTGTGTATTAGCTTAATACTGCACCTTTCGACAACTCCCGTAGTCGAAGCACTAGTGAACACGGTTCCCCGATTGCACAGGATTTCTCTGGGAAACTCCACCCGCGCAAAGACATCCACAAGAGCTTTTACAATCTTGGTCGAACTCGCCTCCTCAGGAAGCTCAGTCGCCGTGCAAGGCATAGTAAGCACGTAGCGGCACCCCGACTTCGTAATAGGGAGAGGTTCGATAATGTCTGACACTAGACGCTTGAAGGGTTCAGAGGTCAGAAGTACCAGCTTCAGAGGCACCTTCAACTTCTCGTTTGGTTTTCCCACCCTTTGACACACATCACATGCTTGCATCCGATATGCGGCATCCCGAAAACACCCAGGTTAATAGAACTCCCACAGGAGCAGCTCTTTTGTCGGGGGCAGCAGTGCTTCACTGTGCGAGGTTACTTCCTCTTGATCGACCTCTTTCTGCCATTAGGTCCGTCTCCCCACTGGCAGAGGTGTCTGCCTTTTTGGGCTGATGACGTCGGGTGTTTTGCTGGAACCCGATGCCGGCCTCGTCAAGAGCGGTCGAGATCCAGGGCGTCTTTCGTCTAAGACCGTTTATTTACATATGTATAAATATAATGATGGCAAAACAGAGCCCTGTGTATGTCACAAGTCGCTCCTTTTAAAGTTTCTTGTTTGCCTTGTTCGTAGGGAGGTGCCTCACTTGGGAGGTCCGCAGCCTATCGGGCAGCAACAAAGATCCATCGGTACACCTCCCCCCCCCTCTTCCCTTTTCTCGAAAGCACAGGTGCAAGCGACACACCCATTCAGAAAAGTCAATTCAGAAGGGCGACGACGCTAGTCTGTTACGTGGAACAAGACTGGAGGAGGGATTGTCCTCGCCGCCATTGTCCAGAAGCCGTCCTGTAATCTCCCTGGCACCGGCTCTTAACAAGGAGGGTGAAGATTCTATCGGATTGCTGAACATTGGCTTATTGGGTCCAGGTCGCTGCGGTGGGGAAAGAATCCTCCCAAGCATGGGAAGGGTGTCTCGTAGTCATTCCCAGCTGGGAGACGAATAAGGAGAAAATACCGAAAGGTCGCCGCCAAGGTTCGGTGCGATGGCGTCCCAGTGGCAAGGGAAGAGTGCCTTCCAGGTGGATGAAGGGGTGTCTCGTAGTCGTTCACTACAACAGCGTGACATTGGACTGCCAGGACATAGCAGCACTTTTACAGGCTGTAGGTGATACTTGGCCAGTGTAATGCAATTGCTAGCCTAGGGTCTTTACTGTGCATAGCGCAGTAGAGACAACACGCCGGTAAGATGCTAATCTAGATCAAAACGGGCAGGGCAGGGGAGGGAGGGAGTGAGCTCAGTATCGCTGGGTTCTTGAGCGCGAGTTTTAGCTCCACCTGCTGCGATCTCTCCGACAATTTGCATGCCGTAAACTTAACACTTGCAGTAGACAAAAAGAAGATCGTGCAACCAACCGCCAGCACGCGGAAATAACTATACCTTACAAGTTGTAACGAAAATTGACTGTCAGCGCGTCGGTTTTTAATAGCACGTTACAGACAAAATGGACGGACAAGGACGAACATCCTTTGACTGTCAACACATAGCAGACGCTAGCGTCGAGCACAAAGTACAGTACCATGAAGGGATCGTGCGAAAGGATGAGGAAGTGAAAGGGAGAGGAGACAGGGTCGAGGGCGGCAGGAGAAACCAAGGAAAGCCCGGTAAGGTTAGGGGGTGAAGGGAGTCGGCCGGTGTCTTGGCCAGCCTTTAGAGAACCGGGTGGAAATTGTCACAATACCTGCCACGCAGTCGGGGCACCAGCTTTTGCCGCTGGCATCTTCGGAGCCGGTGAACAGGCACAGCAGGTGTTTCTCGTCCTTCAAAGGTGCCACCGTCGACTGGAATTCCTCAAAACTCTTTACTGTGATTCTCTTCGCCATCGTTAGTTTGCTGCGGTGGATCCGAGCTAAAAAACGCGTTGATCACACGGTCACACGGTACTGATCACACTTGGCAAACACACGCCCCCTGAAATCCTTTTTTCTTCGAACAAAACTAAACAAATAGATAAATCGTTGTCGACTAAATTCATGAAACAAGCGGTAGCTTGCGCCACCTATCCCAAAACCCCTGCGTGCCACAAGCGCGAGCTCCTTGCTCTAGGGCACATCTCAGTGGCACAAGCTCTCGTGCGTTAAAAGCAGCTCCCAACGCTATGAGCTCGCGCTTCTAGCTTTTTTTTTTTTCTAGCCTTTTATTAGGTATATTAGAAATAACAGATGGTTTAGTAGACAAATATTGCTGCACGGGAAGCGGTCGGGCCCTGCGGAAAAGCTCTGACATGTAAGCATTGTGAGTGGATTTAAATTTGTAAAAGACGGTAAGTGTGCAGGCGAGCTGGTGGTAGCTAATCATGTGGTACTTAAAGGCTGTTTGAGAAATAAACCAGTTAGCTGAGTTTGAGACGTTCTCTGTGTCTGTTCCTTCTACTGAAAGTTCTTGCGATTTCTTCCACCGCAGTCTCAGGTGTAATACGACATGATTAAATTTGTAGCTACGAATTTTTATTCATGCAGACATGATTTATTCCCTAGAAGGATAGTTACACACAGCAGTGAAGCTGGAAACGGCGTCGTGTTGTTTGCAGACCGGTGGCGTCGCTGCGTTTCCATAGGAGCCTCTGATAGGAGCTAAGCCTTTTTCTTTCTTTAATTTTTCCTCGGGTAAATTCGCTCGTTGCAAATTTTACAAAAAAAAAAAAATGCACCATCTGTGGGCAACGTTGCGCAAAGTCGTAGCGCGATAGGTTAAGAAACCGAATTTTCCGGTCGATTTAAAGAGCCTGGCGTCTCCTTGCACACCATCTTCGACACTAACATGGCAGTCAGAAAAGGCACTGGTTACAAAAATGAGGTCTAAAAGCGAACTACTTAAGCCCTAAACACGTGTAAACTCTGTTACAATCTGTGATGAATCACAGGCAAGCATTATGTCACAAACTATTGTAGCATTTTCAGTGGATGCATTTGAGAAACTCGCCCAATTAATATCTGGGAGATTAAAGTCGCCAGAGAGTATAACATTGTGATTTTGAAATCGTAGTAAATGATCATACAACCTTATACTCCGTTCCACCTTCAGTCCGAGCGCAGTGAACGCCACGAGCTATCCCAGCCGATCCAGCGCCGGGAGAAAATCGCGTGACCTGCCGGTTGGGCAGAGCGCCACAGGGAGCTCAAGGTCACAAGACACTCTCTCAACGCTGGATTGGCTGGGATGACTCCTAGCGTCCGCTGCGCTCGGACTGAAGCTGAAACGGAGTATAGTAAAAATCAGCGGGTGAACTTGGGGGCCTATACAAAGCACACAAAATGAAACTGGAACCGCACACATTCACTCCAAGGAACAATCTTTCGTGATCATCTGTCTGATCTAGTAAAACAGCGTCGATTGATGATTTGAGCACGATTGCAACGCCCCCCCCCCCCCCCCCCTTTTCCCCTCCGCGATGAACGATCTCTTCTAAATATTTTGTGCGATGACGGGATTACTTGATTATCATTAATTTCACCGTAAGCTCGGTTTCTGTGATGATCGTCACGTGAGGATCGTAGTTCAATAAAATGAGCTCGAGCTTATCTATTTTGTTACTAATGCTACGAGCATTGAAATTTACAAACCGCAATTGTTTGTTTACAGCTTGTGGAACTGCCCGTCAATCCTTAGATTAAGCTGGTAACGCAGAGGAAAGCAGTACACGTTCATTTGCAGCACTCCGTGCGACGCGACCGGCGCGCCGCCGCACGGCCGTTACTGAAGGCAGGCGGTGAGAGCCCCAGCGAAACGAAACCACGCCGCGTACACTGGTACGCATTAAGTCGGAGCGGTGCGGTTGCGCTGGGTTGACAGCATGAACTGCTGCGTTGTTAAGTGCTCCAATAGTTCTGCGTCGTATCTCGTGGGGACGAAGTTTCACAGTTTTTCACCTCGCCGATGCTTTGTGGGACAGCGACAACGATGAACCCGTGCCGCACGACGCGAGAAATTTGGTCCCCCGATCATGTCTGCCACTGTGTCGGCACGGCTGACATATTCTACACTGCCGCTTTGCACTCTGCGTTTGTTTTCGTACCAGTAACGCTTACATATCTCAGCTCGAACTGAAATGCCATCCCACACTCGCGGGTTTGCAGAGCGAATTTCGTTGAAGAAATGCCCTCCAAAGAAGTTTCGTCCCCATCGTACGTGTCGATGATATTTCCGGACCAGTATGGCACGCAGTCTGTACTTCATTAAGAAAAATTCGGACGGTACAAAAAGTGACAAATATGAGTCTAAGGAAAACTACAATGAAACTTGGAATCTATGGACAATCGATGTTTGGGTATGAGAGTGTATGTGGGGTGCTTTCTTTTTTTATCAGCCTCCTTTTGGATGTGGAAACGCTGACACCCCGAGTCTTGTAGAAAACAATTTCTTTCTCGGCTTTAGAGCCACCTATCGCAAAGTTGTTCGAACTGGAAGTACCGTCTTACTGGTCCCTTCCAACCTGTAAAGTGTGCATCTCCCGGTCATGATGAGTGGTATACTCTTGACAGCCTTAGACGGTCAAAATCGGTTCCCCTTTAGTTACGCCGCCCAAAAAGTTTAGGTATAATAAGTGTTTTGTCAAGTTACGGTTGTCAAAGTACCTGTGTGCAGAAAATCAGCACCTCTCACAACCAGGTTACTACACAACAGCTGACCGCAAAAGCCTCTGACGACCAAACCGTGTGTTGGACGGCAACTTGGTTTTCTCGGCTTTGAAGCCACCTTTCGTAAAGTTGTTTGAATTGGAAGTACAGTGCCACTAGTCCCTTCCTACCTGTAAAGTCTCCATCTCCCACGACGAGTGGTATTCTCTTGACAGCCTTTTCACGGTCAAAACCGTTTGCCATACAGTTACGCCGCCCAAACCGAATTTCCACCTGGTTTTCCTATGCCACCTATTTTTGGTATTATAACTGTTGTGTCAAGTTACGGTCATGTCCAAGAACATGTGTGTCCAAATCTGCACTTCGCACAGCCCGGTTATAACACAACATTTTGGGTCCAATATTGGATATTCCTGACAGCTTTATCCCTTTATTCGTTCGAACCATAACTTTCACACCTGACGTCTTAATAAAACTTGGCCCACTTAGTGCACAAACTTAGTGAACATCTCACTCGCCTCCAAATATCATCGTCCCAGCAGTCCTACGTTTACAGCGACGAGCGAAACAAATTTCCCACTGAGAGCAATTATGGTGGCGGCCGTCTTGCTTTTCGGAAAATAGCTCAAACCCCTTTTTCGACCGCAACTAAAGAAATTACCCCTAATAACGACTCAAACTCAATATATAAGAAGCGGAGAACAGCTAAATGCCCTTCTTAAATCTGCCTCAGCACTCATGCAACGTCACACTCAACTTATCGGCTCAAAAAGCAAAAGTTCCGTCCGTGCGCGCTTCCGCCGCCACAGCTTCGCACGCGAAAAGGCGCCGCAGGCAGCTGAGTGCGCCTTACTGTCGAACGCCAGTTCCTCCGCTAGCGGCGCTGCGCGTGTTTTTCAAAGCGCACCCCTATAGTTCCCGCACGGAGCGTGAACCAGAAAGACCCTTTTACCGTTAGCCTTATCGTGTTTGGCACCTCCCCACAACTTTTTTTTCTTTTATGTTGCATGCGCTGTGAATAGTTATTCTGAATGAACACGTTAGACAGTCTTCTTCGCGTTTTTGAGGACTGACTGCTTCTCGGTGAAATCTTGGAAGTACATAATAACTGGTCTTTTGGTGCCATTCCTTCCTAGCCTGTGTATTCTGGCAATTGAAGTACAAGGCACACCCGATTTGTGAGCAAATATGTAAGATATTCCTTCACCCCTCAGTTATTCTTTGTTTTCATCCGGACTTTCCGCGACGCCAAAAATGACTAGATTCGAGCGCCGAGAACGGTCCTCAAGGTCAGAAATTGTTATGCTTTGTTGGAGCACAGTACTCCGAAGAGAATAAACAATGGTCTCTAGCTGGTCTATCTGACTACATTTCTCTCTTAGCTCTTTTAAGATTCCACCCATCTCAGTGAATTTTGCGTGCATGTCATTTACTGTTTTGTCGGCCAGTTGCAGTTTGCTGGTTGCGAAACTCGGTTATATCTCTCTGTATGATTGCTTGGCCATCAAGTAGGGTCTCAAGCATTTCCAGGCTAAAGGGGGCCGGGACTATAGACTCCACGTCACCGCCCAGCAGTAGCCACCAAGCAAGAAAGGAATTAGAGACACATCTCTTTAGACTCTGTGGGCAGATCACAATCATAAGCGTTAAATTATTACTTATGAAAGAGTATGTGCAATAACTACCCTGTAACAAGAAGAACGGCACCCTCGTTAGTCACATGCCTCTTATGGTTTCGCCGTGCCCACAGTGCCCACTGAAGAAATACTGCTGAGGAGTGTCTCTTGTAGTAGATGCTGCAGGTGACGTCACGGGTCCTGTGACGCAAAACCCATCGGAGATAAGTGGCGCCGCTGTAGTCACGTTGATAAAAACAAACTTGTGCTGAAAGACCGTTGCCGATTAATCGTGACGAGGAAACACGCAGTCAACAAAAGCGCAGCCGCCATCGGCTGGATCAGGCATAGTCGGCAGTAGCAAAACCTGTAGCAAGAAGAACGGCACCCTCGTTAGCCACATGCCTCTCATGGTTTCGCCGTTTCGAATGGTAGTAGTACCCCATACAAGGCGACAATATTGGAAATATGACTAAACGAGGCCGTGAAAAATTATTAAGTTACAGATGGGGTGAAAACTGTACGGTATCGGTATAGAGTACCAACAGCTTTTCTGTTTTTTTTTTACGGAAGTAGTGTATGTGCACATTCCATGATAAATTATCTGAAAAGATTACACCTAATATCTTGAATGACTTTACTATCTCGATTGCTTCCCCGGCTATGGTGATATTTGGGTTCGAATAAACAGTCACGTTTTTGGCTTGGAACCGCATGCACTTAGTTTTGTTTTATGTTGATA